GCTGCCCATCTTTTTGATTCATAACCCGTATAAGATGAGGCAAGATAGACAAAACATATTGTTTCATCTCCACTCCCATTTTTAATGACATCTAAAGAGACAACTTCTGACATCGGAGTAGCACACAACATTTGTTCAGCCACTCACCTCCCCAAAAGCCCAGATCGCATTGTTACAGACGGAGATATGGGATGGATCAAAATTCATCGCCAAAATTGGTATAAACGTTTCTATAAGTCAGTGAAGAAAGACTAAAGTTGACAATTTCGTACAGAAAAAGCGAAGTACAACTCACGAGTATATGGCTTTATATGATGCCAGCAAGCCTTCGTTAAATCTCCAAGCAACGCAAAACTGCTTTGTCGTACTTCGGGAGTTGGGTCCTAGGTAATCAAGGGCTAGTCATTAGAAGGTCATAAGCTTTCAAAACTAACCACTGCACACAATGACAAAAGCTGTAACACTTCATTTCGTCCTACAAGAGGTTCAATGTGCGCGCCTAGACTTTCGGCAAGACCGGATAGCAGATCCAATGCAACGATAAGATAATCCTGCAATGAATAAACATTCATAGATTATTTTAAAATTCAGTATTTCAGTAAGGTATGCATATACACAATATAACCTTCAAGTAGCTGATAGCATGAAATTTCCCACAGATATGAAAAAGAAAACTAACTTTGTCCGGCATTTCCACCTCATTCGGTCGCTGTTGTGCTTCCATGGACTGATGTAGTGATTGTGTTATAAGCGTGATGCACCTGAATTTGAAGAATCCCCTTATTCATCGATCCTGTACATTATAATGATGAGAGTACCTTGTGTAAACTGGCTCACAGTAGGGTAAAAAGGCTATGCCCATGGCGGACGCTACCGATGAAACACATTCAAGCAACGGGAACAATTCCTGAAATGACTTGGCAATATTCCAGAGAGATTCATTATCTAATCGGGAAAATAGCCAAACAGAAAAGATCTCTAAGCGGATATAAAAATGTAACATTAAAAAAGGAACATATTCTTATCTGCTGTTTTTTTTTTCTTGAAAGATTTATGTATTGAGATACTATTTCGCGCTGCACTACTAAAGGAATGCCTTAATAAATCAGAAAATTTTACCAGTAGTAAAGTGCAATGTTTAAGTGGGAAAGCAAAGTTTGAGAGAGTAATGAGACTGTCAGTAAGCTACAAGGTTTGAGACACCGAGATCCAAGTTGGAGCGCTACAAACCAGTGCAATAATGAGTATTCATTATGAGCAAACCAGTCATCAATAAACTTCATTTCCAATAAAAGGTTGTTGCAAGTTAGCAACGAAAACAGGAAGTTAGAATATTGAAAATCACGTCGAGATAACATTATGTTGAGGCTACACAAACATGCCTTTATAATAACAATTAACCTCGTTCCAACCGTCAAAGTTAGCAACTGCAT